GTAGTTTTTCCCTATATATATATATAGGGTTTCTCTTTTCTCATGTCACATGAGATAACATCTCTCATGCTATAAATACAACAAGTGATAGGTCCCATCACTTGTTAAAAAAATAAAAATTAAAAAGAAGATAACACGGATTTCGATACCTCACAACATGAGAAAATGATTTTCCATATATATATATATATATATATATATATATATATATAGAGAGAGAGAGAGAGAGAGAGAGAGAGAGAATATGTTTCTCATGTTTCATGAGATAAAAGTTGTCTCATGCAATACACAAAAAATTGGGTGTGACCCACTAAGGAGAAGAAAGAGAAAAAAAAAATAAGTGGAGTTCACCAACTTTTTGTCTCATACAACATAAGAAACAATGCAGGATACTTTGACATCGGTGTCAAACTAAAAATGTTATTATACCTATATTTTTTTTATGCCTACCTTACCTATCACTCTCCAACATCGTTAAATCAAAATCTCTAAGAGAAGAGAGAAATGATAAAGATCAGTTGAGATTCTGATCTAATAGTATTGGAGAATAGTAGGTAAGATAAACATGAAAAAAAGAAAGTAAAATAACCTATCCCATATATAGAGGGAGTGTTATATTTACAAACTTTTTGTTTACAAACTACATTATATACTCCGCCGGAATTACATAGTGTAATTTGAAAAATTTAGAACAAAAAATTTATAAACGGATCCTTCGCAATATATATATATATACACACACACACACACACACACACACACACACACATATATGGCTTATTGTTTTTCAAGATGCTTGAGACAATGTTATTTTCGGCTACTAATTCATAACAGTACAAAGATGGATCAATGGTGATAAAGGAAGAGAGAGAAAGGGGAATCATAACCATTCAAAGGTGATTCAATTAATATAAGGAAATAAATAAACAAAACGACGTAGTTTTGGGGTGGCCGGAGATAAACTTATCTCAAGCAGCTTGAGAACTATTTTTCTCATATATATATAATATATAGGGTTCGCTTTTTTCTGCTGTTACTGTAGATAACTTATCTGCAGTAAGCATAATACGACATCGTTTTGGAGCGAAAATCATGGTATTTTTATAATTTTAATTTATTTCAGGGTTATTAGAGTCTTTATAATAATAATTATTTAATTTTTCAATCCTAAAACGACGTCGTTTTGAGAGTAAATACAGATAACTTTTCTGCAGTAACTGCAGAAATATTATTCTGATATATATATATATATATATATATATATATATAGGGTTCGATTTTTTCCCAGCCACTTTAAGTGATAAATTTTCCATATATATAGGTTAAAACATTTAATGTGGAGAATCATAACCATAGAAAATGTAAAAGCATTAAATGTGAGAAATCATAACCATATACCTGTCATTACTGTATGTACAACAATTTTAGATATGATTTTACCATATATATATGGGATAGGATCCGTTTACAAACTTTTTTTGCAAATTACACTAAGTACGACCAGTCGTACACTGCATGATTAAAGTATGACCGGTCGTACTTAGTGTAGTTTGTAAGAGTTTGTAAACAAAAAAGTTTGTAAATATAACCTGCTCCTATATATATGTGTGTGTGTATATATATATATATATATATGTATATAATATTTCTCCTATCTCCTACAACTCTAAAATCGACGTCATTTTGAGATTAAAAATTAAAATAAAGAGTATTTTAGTAAAATTTATGATAAAAAGAGGAATGTTCAAAATACCTTTTATTTTTAATTCTAGAACCCAAAATAACATCGTTTTGGGATTGTAAGAGATAATTTTATTTTCTGTTGTAAGAGAAATAATTATATATATATATATATCTAAAAATGTTAATATATAAAATATAATCTATGTACCAGTTTTTTTCTATTTAAGGTGTTATCTTGCGATTCCTCTAAATAAATCTCTATGTAAGAGATAAATAAGGCTGTTTGTTAGGTGTATATTTTTTAGAATACTGAAAAAGCTCATTTGGGATTCCAATTAACCTGCGTTTGGTAAAGTTGTTGCAAAAATTTCTCCATGATTCTAGTTTGTCCAGCATTTTCATTGTAGTACAAAATAAAGGTCAAAGTATGATATGCCTCCAGCATAGATATGATTTTAAGTCAAAAAGTGAAAGAATCTTGATCAATCACGAATAAAAAAGGCTATAATTACCATTTAATTGATAAATCCTAATCAGATATCTTGTCACTGATTTTCTTATATTTTCGTAGGAAAAAGGACGAGAAAGAAGTCCAGTTGAGAAAGACAGAAAAGCACAAGTCTGAAGCCACCGCGCTATCAGTGCGGCACTGGTGCTATCAGCGCCAACATTACTTTTCAATACAGCACCACCACGCTACTTGCGTGGCACTGGCGCTATCAATGCCATCAACTTCTGCCAACTGTGCTATCAGCGCGAGATTCACGCTAGTAGCGCGAAGCTACTGACTCCAGACAACACTCCCACGCTATCAGCGTCAACCTGGCACTAGTAGCGCGGGAAGCACATGACAGTTTTAACTCTGCATCAGATGGTATATGGAGGAGATCGTAAAGGAAAGATTTCATCAGGATTTCTAAACATGGGCACAAAGTCTATAAAAAGATACTAAGACCCCTGAGGAAAACAATCTTTAGCTGGAGAGACTTGTAAGAATCAGAGAATTAAGAGAATTCTTGGAGACTCATGTTGGAGATCAGGATTCCGACGAAGTTGAAGACTGAAGATCATTGATTCTTCTGCTTCATCTTCATCTTCTTTTCTATTGTTTTTATAAATTCTTTTAATTATTTTGATTTGTTAAAGTCAGATATGTCTGGCTAAATTCTTTTATCTATTTTGATTTATAAATTGTTTTTATAATTTAAGGACTTATGTCTGGCTAAGTTCTTATTGTAGTTGGGATCACGGATCCAATGTGAATCCTTTATATGTTTTAAATTGTTTTTATAATTAATATAATTTATGTAGCTTTATTCTACCTGTGTTAATTCTTCTATATCCTTGATAGAATTGATCGCTCTATTATAGGATTTTGAGGGTTAGAGCTCACAATAGACATATTGGAGTTTTAATTCAAACAAGGGTAGAATAACAATCCATGCATGACCTAGACATAAGCTTACATAGATTGCGAACTTTTAGATTCATTTGTTTAATGCTTAATTCAAGAGGAATTACTAGGACACTAGAATTCTAATTGGGTTAAAGGGTTGAAAACACTAAGACATTAGGGTTCAACTATTTAATAGGGAAATAATGAATTGTCTGAGCTAATAAATTAGTTAGTTATAAAATACAATTTAGGAATATAAAGGAGGATCGGAGGTTAAGTGCATCTTGACTGCATTTTATTTTACAATTTCAATTATTAATAATCTCTTTGACATTCTTGATTAATTCTTGCATGCTTTAATTATTTCTGTTTTTAAATTTCTATCAGCAAATATTTTCACAATCAAACTTAGTTTTTCCAATTTAAAAGGGAATAGTTAAATTAATACTTAGTGCATTAATCCTCGAGGGAACGATATCTTATTTATCACTTATTACTTGGAACGAACTGTATACTTGCCGATTTCGCAACAAAGTACCATCAAGAAATACCACAAAGTAGGTGGTATTTGCTGAATCCACTTTCTTGAACAAATTTAACTTGTTTTTTTGGGACTTTCTCGATCAAAATTGAGTTTTTTACCTAGAAATAATTTTATCAAGTAAACAATTTTTTGGTAACATTTTCAGTAAACTGATTTTCCCAGCATAATCTCGATCAGGATTCTCGGATTAAATTTTTTTTTCATCTACCAAACGAGTATACTGGATGAAAGATAAAAAAAAGGACTTGTTCAATAATTTCAAATTTGGCATAGTCAAAGTTGTTATGCTCGTGAACCACAAGTTAAATTCTAGAATTTTTGTTTTTCATTTATTCCTCATAATAAAGAAAATTATTAGTTCCCAAAATTTCCTAGTTTCTGACTTTTAAGATTGGATTTATTCTTGACCCAACTAAGCAAAATATTTCCATGCTTTTGGGTTAGAATTAGAAATTCAAATGTGGCTCCGCATCCCAAAGGAGTAGGTCACTCTTATTCAAAACTAACTCTTTGGTGATAAAAGGAGAAGAAAAAATGGGGTTGAAAAAGGGAATTAAATACAGTTTTTGAGATTATTTAATTTATTATATATATATATATATATATATATATATATATATATATAAAAGAGTGTAAAATTCATATTTTTCCTCTCTTCTTTTTTGCATGACATCACATAAATTCTATATATTTTTATGTATGTATAAAAAATTAAAATTAATTTTTACAATATAAGAAATATTAATTCCTAAAAAGATACTTATATAACTCACCATTTTGTGTTTCATTTTTGGTTTCCTTATTTGGCCCTCTGGCTTCAAATACTTTCAATTCAATGCCAGCTACCTTTACCAAAAAAGAAAAATTACAAATTGAATTGAATGATGGAGCAGCTAGAGTACTTCCAAATTAACAAAAACCTTTTAGTCCACACAGTCCACAATTTAATATTCTAAATGCTCCCTTTTTTTTTTTTTTTGAAAAGTTAAATACTCCTTTTTTGAAAAACAAGAAAAAACCAATCAAACAATGTCTCACACTGCAAAAATAAGAGCTTCTCTCTAACTCCTACAGCAACAACACAACCTCACTCTTCCATTCATTCCTTCACCATAATATATTTACTCTGTTTTCTCTGTTTTTTATCCTTCATTCTCTTTCTCTCTCTCTCTCACTCTTGTTATTGCTGTTTAATCAATTACATTATTACACCCATCATCTTCCTTCTACCCACGCCTACTCAATTTGTGCCGCATGTATGTTTGAACTTTCTTGGGCACTCTCTGACTTCTCCACTATCTCTTCCATTTTTTATAAGCATGCCCCCAAACAATTCAAGTGCAAAGTTGATTCCTAAAAGCACAGTTGACCAGTGAAGTTTGCAACTTTGGTAAGCTTTTGGGTTCTTATTATTGTCCATTTTAATGGGTCTTGTTTAATTTCTCTCACAAGGCCTATTCTGGTGTTTGAGCTTCATATGAGTTTTCACTGCTCTGGGTTCAACGCTTCACAAAGGAAACACCTTTGGGGCTATAGAACTCTCAGAGTGATTAAATTTTGGCACCCCATTTTGAATCTGCATCAGATTTTGAAGGGAAACTGGTGGAAGTTGCAGCAGCTATGGTTGCAGAAGCTTGGATTGTAAAGATGGGTAACCAGGTAAGTTCCAATCTCAAGCATGCCCTTCTTCTTGAAACTTTAACAAAGAGAAAACAGAATCACAAAAGGTCAGATAGCAAAGAAATTATAGGTATTATTTCGTTTGAAGTAGCAAATGTGATGTCCAAAACTGTGCACCTACACAAATCACTGTCAGAATCTGAGATCTCAAAGCTAAGGAATGAGATCTTGAACTCAGAGGGTGTTAAGAATTTGGTTTCCTCTGATGAGGCTTATCTTCTTGAGCTGGCTCTGGCAGAGAAGCTTGAGGAGTTGAACCGTATTGCTAGTGTAGTTTCTAGGTTGGGGAAGAAGTGCTCTGAGCCTGCCTTGCAAGGGTTTGAGCATGTGTATGGGGACATTGTTGGTGGAGTTATAGATGTGAAGGAATTGGGGTTCTTAGTTAAGCATATGGAAGGAATGGTGAGGAAAATGGATAGGTATGTTAATGCCACCAGGAACTTGTACAGTGAAATGGAAGTGTTGAATGAATTGGAGCAAGCAGTGAAGAAATTTCAGCATAATCAGCATGAGGAGAGTAGGAGGTCGTTTGAGCAGAAACTCATATGGCAGAAGCAAGATGTGAGGCATCTTAAGGAGATTTCTCTTTGGAATCAGAACTTTGATAAGGTTGTTGAGTTGTTGGCGAGGACAGTTTGTACCATTTATGCTAGGATTCCTGTGATCTTTGGCGAATCTGCTTTGACGAAGAATAGCCTTGGCCTTGATGGAGGCTTACCAGCTATGCAAAATGAATGTGGGTTGTTGTCCGGCCATATTAATGTTCAGTTGAGTTCTGAGAGGTTGAAACGCAATCAGAGCAAGAAAAGTGGATTTCATTCGGATTCGGTTGGGAGAATGGCTGTGGTGGAAAGGAGGGGAACTACTAGTAAGCCTCAGATAGATATGAGTAGAGGTGAGTTGGCATCTCTTCGACCTAAAGATTTTGGTTTTCCGTGTGGAACAAGTCCGGGGAGACTTTTTATGGAATGTCTAAGTTTGAGTAGCTCAGTTTCAAACTTTGATGCTGCTGCTGATGATTATGTTATCAATCGGGAGGAACAATACAGTCATCACATACCTAGTAGCTGTTGCAGCGCTGGGATCGGGAATAATAGCATGAAAAGGGAGCACTTGTGCCATTCTGGTGTTCTAAGTCATGCCCAAAGTGGTGTTCCTTTCACTGGAGATCTAAGACAAGCTAAATCTGGTGTTCAAATCTGCTCAACGTTTGGTCCCAAAAGTAGGTTAGCTGTTTATGCTCCTTCTTCAACTCTTGGAGGCTCTGCTCTAGCATTGCACTATGCCAATGTCATAGTTGTCATAGAGAAGCTGCTTCGCTACCCGCATTTAGTTGGTGAAGAAGCTAGGGATGATTTATATCAGATGCTACCAACAAGCTTAAGATTATCTCTTAAGGCCAAATTGAAGTCCTATGTCAAGAATTTGGCCATATACGACGCCCCTCTCGCCCATGATTGGAAGGAGAATCTTGATGGGATACTTAGGTGGCTTGCTCCACTTGCACATAATATGATAAGATGGCATAGTGAGCGTAATTTTGAGCAACACCAAATCGTTAGCCGGACAAATGTTCTGCTACTTCAGACATTATACTTTTCTGACAGGGAAAAGACTGAGGAATCAATCTGTGAGCTTCTTGTTGGGTTGAATTACATATGTCGTTATGAACATCAACAAAATGCACTACTGGATTGTGCAAGCAGTTTTGATCTTGAAGATTGCATGGAGTGGCAATTGCAATGTGGAGCTTCTTTTCTCAACTGAATTCATTCTGAATTTTGAGATCCTCAATATAGTGAGCTTTTTCTTGATTTAAAATACCTTATGGGGATATCATCTCAATACAATGTGGAATTCTGAACATTGCACATTGAGGATTAATATTGCTGAAGACTTGAAAAGTATAATTGTATTTGATTGGAATTTGACTTGTGCAGTACATAAGCAGTCATATTTATAAAGGGGCATAAAAGTTCATGCTGAACTTGTAAATATGTTTATGTACAGATTGCTTACTCCCAAGAGTATGCTTTGTTAGAATTATTGTCATGAATGAATAGCTAGAGACTAGTATTGATATCTTAATTTCTATGGTAGTGTTAATTTGTTGGTGCATGTATTTCTATTCTAGTTCTACATTATGATCAAGTCATAAGGTCTAGTTTTCTTGCCTGCAAGTTTGTTCTCCCTTAAACATGTTTATGTGTGTTAGAGATACAGGATATAAAACTATTAACATGGCCTTCTCTCGTGTTAGAGATATAATATTAATATTTAAGCTGTTGAGTGAAGGCCATATTAACAGTTTTATTTATCATATCTCTAACAATGTGATTCTTAATGCTAATTTAAAGTTCGAGTGCATTGTCATTAGAGGGCATATTCTTAACGCTTATGAAAACTGTGAATTATAAATTGCCATTTTTGCTAAGAATAAGAGGGTGAGCCTAGAGTAATGGTATAACTGCTTTGGTCACAGGTTTAAATCCGGAAAACAATCTCTTTGCAAATATACGAGGGTAAGGTTGCATACAAAGAATTCCTTTACACCTACTCTCGCTAGTCGGGATTTAACGGGGAGGGGTTGTCTTTTGCTAAGAATGGAGTAAGGGACTTATATTGGTTGAAATTTGCTGAAGTAATACTTTGGAAGATAATCATTGTACATGGATGCTGTCTGTATTGAATATCATACTATTAAAGAAATGCTTGTTCCTGTTATAAACTCTAGAATTAAATTGAAAATTGAATTAGCAGCTTCATTTCATAATCATAGAAAGATACACAAGCAGTAATTTTGTCCAAAGATTCTATAGTTTTCTTTTTCTATCAGAAAGAAAACTATAGAATTGTGATATGTATATGTTAAGAGAATTGGCATACAACCTAAATCTTTCATAACTCTCCACTTTGCTCGAATTTCTTAATCTGTTTCCATTATTGTGATAGACAAGGCTAGCCTGTAATGCTGTAGAGGCCAAATGTGATTACCATATTGATGAAAGGAGGGAATTATGGTGTCAATGCACTGTTTATATTTAATAAATGGGAGAATTGCAGGACTTCATTGACTTGTAGTGGCACAGCATTGCCAATCTGTCATCTGTGACATTCATTTATAACCAAGCTAAAACTTTATTTTAATTTTTTTTTTTTCTGCATGATTTTCCTTCCCATCCTTCCAGGACCTCCTCATATTAAATATTCGTGGGTTGAAATTCAGACTAAATTAACATTTTCATTATGAAACCCAAAATCACCCCAAAATATGTATGCAGAAAATAGTTAGGATTTTTGTGATATATTTTATTTCTCTATCCAAATATGAAAAATATTGAGCAAACCTATGTAAAAAAACCATCATAGATTAACATGATTAAATCATGATTTTATAGATTGGTAAAATACTTATATTTTGAGATGTAGTACACATGTGGAATGTCGTGTTATTGCTTGTTTAAGCCAAAAATGACAGGATCTGCGTTCAAATTTTTTCTTAATTTGGTTTTTGTCTAAGTTGAAATACAAACATTAATATGGGGCAGATGGAAAACTACCTTGTCAGTTTAATCAATAATTACTAAATCAAGCTGGGCATGTAGGCACCATGAAGTGGCATAACATAGGTGGGTAGAAGAGGGCATTCACTTAGGCAATAAAAGGGCTTCCAAATATTGTATATGTGTAGTTGGGTGCCATTAATCTTTTGTGGGGTTTGTGAGTGGTGTTCCCTCCTTCTTATGACTTGCTTTGAATTTAGTGGCTCACAAAATCAAGGTCCACACTATTAGATTCTTATGTGGTTGTTTATGTAAACAGAATCATAGAAAAAATTATTTTTTCAATCTAGAATCTTAGAGTAGCGGTAAAGTTGTTTTTTGCGGTCGAAAAATTATGGGTTTCTCAAGCACAGTCTTTTCGTACAAGTATATAGGTAAGACTGTATATAATTGATTCTCACACCTATTTTCACAAATTAAGAAGCCGTGTGCATCGGGATTTATCCTTTTGTACTCTTTTTGATATACAATATATAGAAAGGTGTATATATAGTATTAGCCATTAAATGAAGCAGAAATTGTGATGAGGGGGCAATTGTAACACATAAGAATACCCCTTCTATATAGTCAATTTCAGCGAGGGCATAATATACTTACCATCAAAATTTTTTTATCATTCTTACAACCAATTTAATCACCGTTTATTTTCGTCAATCTAACAGTCATAATCTATTGAAAATTAAATAATTAATTAATAAATGTGACACAATAAATGCTATTAATTTTCAATAGATTATAATCGTTAGATTAACGAAAATCAGCGGTGATTAAATTAGTTGTAAGAATAGTAAACTTTTTTGGTGATAAGTGGATCCGTTCCCTTTAAGCAATTATTACCTTCTTATATTCATAATCCCAAAATATTATTTCCTAAACAGATATAATCATGTCCATGAAAGAAGTGAAGCAGTCAAAAAATAAAATAAAATTGTCATGTTTATAAAATAAATATGTAAATTAGCTTGTTAGATAATTTCAGTTATATCTGGAATTTAACTGAGTCTTTGTATATTGATACAGCTAGCGTTGAATATAAAAAGTGTATTGGAGTGATAAATATAATGGTTGTTGTGTGCTTGGGAAGCACTTATAATTCGTTCCCCCAATTTGGTTACGGGTCAATTTTGAATTAATGCTTTCTTTACAACAATATACTACTCTGTGACTCGACAATTAGTCACTTGCCCAAAAGTTTAGCTACTGATGAGCTCAGTTGATGAGCCCAATGTAGTAAGGTCAGAGACAAACTTTACGTGTGATAGATCTATAGATACACCAATTTTAATTTCAAAACTTTGATTTGATATTATAACGAGAATTTAAATAGTTAGTCATAAGTAGGAGGTTAACAGGTTGAGTCGAGTCGAGTTTTGGTCTTAAACGGTTAAGCCTGTGTTTAAATGTGTCAGTCTAACAAAACTTGTTACATGTTATGAATGTAATTATCTGCATGTGGCTGTCTTATTTACAAAAAATAAAAACCTTGTTTAATTAGTTAGCCTGTTTAAAAAAAATAAGACAATAAAAGTTTATCCAAACAGAATATACAATCAACAACACTAGTCATTCCATAAATATTCATAAATTCAATGTATATCCAAACAGCATAATATAGAACAAAATCATTCAAAAAGTCTATTTAACTAATAAAATGGAGTGAAATGGATTAAGGAGAAAGATAGGACTATTACAAGTAGTATAAAAAATATAAAATAAAAATAAAAATTAATATACGAGGCCTGCCTGAGAGGCTCTAAGACCGAACTTTTGAATTGGAGCATGAGGCCTTTTTATTAAACGAGTTTTTATACAACTACAAGTATGATTCCAACAACTAATTTTAGACATGTAAACTCAGACTTTTACGAGCCGAGCCAAAGTTCCTAGCTTGTTTACCACCTCTAGTCACAAGATATGCATTATGTAATAATGTATATATATATATATATATATATATATATATATATATAATCAGGATCATTTTACATAGTCTTACACCACATCTCAACCGTTGTTTTCGTGCATCCAACGGTTATAATTTAAGAAGTAATATGAATTAATTAATATTAATTAATCATTAATTACACTACAAATACCAACCGATGATTTTCCATCAACGGTTGAGATGTGGTCTTACACTGATGTAAAAAGAACTTGCCCTTGTTATCAAAAAAAAAAAAAAAAAAAAAAGAACTTGCCCTATATATATATATATAGGGTCAGGATCATTTTACACCAGTGTAAGTTACACTCTTAATCTTGTCCGTTTATCTCATTTATATATAAGGGCTCTAATTTTTTAGTAATGTGAGCCATTAGATACCAGTGGATCAGTGGTCAAGATTGAATGTAAGACTTCTAACTCTTACATCAGTATGAGAATATCCTATATATATTGACTAATATGCAAACTGAGTTATGCGCTCTTAGGCATGGTTTAAATGTTGGGAACTTATTTTATATGGGATTCTTTGAAAACCTTGCAGAAAATAGAAAAAGTGGAGCATCAAACGCATGCTTATGGTGCACTGCTCTATGATGTTTGTCAGCTCAAGCCATGAATTTTATACTAAAATTTGAGAGCCATATAATGTTTATAAATATATGTTAATAGTTAGTGGATCATATGTGATTTTGTTCAATATTGTGAAATTTTTTAAAATTTTGGAGAGCAATACTTCTGGTTCCCACTGAGAAATGCCACTAGTCAGCTGTCAGCTCCTTCATTGTGTTGGAATTAATGAAAGAATTAATGTATAATGATCCCTTGGTTATGAATAAGAAGTGAGTTAATAAAGAAAAAAGAAAAGGGAAGATGAAGAGGTGTGTGGGTTTAACAAGTCTCACATTGAACAATTAGTAGAAAGTGAGAAAGTATATAAGCTCCCACCTCACTCTCATAGTTTGACCCTTGGGTCACTACATATTTTATGCAGGGGGAGGAGCTAGGTGGGCTTTGATCCATCACGCGCGCCGCCGCCGCTCGGTTCGGCTCATGTGTGTGTAATAAAATAATTTTTTATTAAATTATTTTTTAATCTTTGTGTCCAAAAAATATCCGTTGCTTCCCTCCAACCCAAACGTTTCTACCCGCCGGATTTTTGAGCAGTGTTGAACCGAACCAGTTCTTCCCCTTCGTGAACCAGTCACCGGTTGTGTCTGTTCGCTAAACCAGTCACCGGTTATACCTGTTCGTCGGAACAGTCACCGGTCGCATCTGTGCACTGAAACTCTGCTGGAGTTTTTCTCCTTTCGGTTTTGCATACTACTTTTCATCCTCCGGTGTACTTTCCTCTGGCAATTGTTGTGTTCGTTTGGGCTGTTGATTGGTAGTGCCACCATTCTTCAGACGAAATCCGTTCTATCATGGGAGACAAGTGTCCATCAACCTTTGGCATCTGTGAGGGGGCAAATTGTCTTAAGGAGACATGTTCTGTGGGCTCAGATTTTAATTCCTCTACTTCATACATTCATTCCTCTGATTCTGTCTGCTTTATCACACTCCTCAAGTAAGTCTGTTTTAATTATTATAATTACACAGTGATAATTCTGATCATCTACCTCCTCTGTTTATACATGGGTTCAAATCTATTAGTGATGTAATATCACCCACTGCCTTCAATGACACATTGTGCATCCCTGCTGCTACTTGAAATTGCATGTGCAGGTTTTCTTATCAAGCTTGGAATTTTATGTTTCCATCTCCTCTTATTGGTTTTCAGATGGATCAGCGTGCAAACATCACCCAAGTAGCTTTCTCTCCTACTTCGATCGATGTGGCACATTTTTTCTTATGCTTATGTACCAAAAACTATTTGTGTATGGACTGGTGACAAGGGTGTTGTATACCTTAAACGGTCAAGTAGCTCAATTAATAGTGTTTAGTGTGACATACGGATTATAGCTCAATGGACTTCTCTGTGGTGGTTTGAGACAAGTTGAGTATCAAGGAGGAGATATAAGACTTGATTATGGTTGGTGAGGAGAGATTTCAATCGTGTAGGGAGAGTAATAATAATGAAGATATCTACTCTGAGGAGGAGTGGGGGTGTATTTAGTGTGGAGAGAATTCCTAGCGTGAGAAATATGATATCATACAGATTTCCAGTCCTATGAGCCCACTCACTCACGGGTGAGGTTGTGTGGCTCTTCACGTGTGAGGATGAAATACCCATGAGCAGCGATGCACGGACACGCCAAGTTTTGAGAAATTTGCGTGTCAAACACGTGTCTGTCCGATACAGACACGCGGTCAACATTTGGGAATACGCAGTCAACTTTTCGATACGTCACGTTTCGACATGTTTTACGACACGTAGTTAACTTTTTTCGACACGCACTCAACGTTCGGACACGCTCGAACACATTTTTTTTTTTAAATCTCAATTTTATTTTGTTAACTAAATATAAAAGAAATAATTTATAAATTAATTTTTTCTGTTATGAAATTTGACATGAAAAATTAACAAAGTAAGAAAAATTATTTATTTATATTTATGTTATGAAATTTAAATATTTGATTGACTATATGACTTATTATTGACTCTTATATGTATTAAATATAAATCATATTATATATATTAAAAAATTTATTTAATATCAAAACGTGTCCCAACATGTCAAAAAATGACATTTTTTAAAATTAACGTGTCGACATGTTGTATCGTGTCGTGTCCCGTATCCGTGTCCGTGCATCATAACCCACGAGAGTGAAATAGAATCATATGTAAAAGGATCTAATTATTCTTGAATTAGGTATTGGGTTGGGCCTACTGGACAGCCCAATTGAGAGACCCAATTAAGCTCCATCGTCATCTACATTCACTTTCATAATGCAGCATCAACAATTCTTCTAAATTTTAGAAAAATAAAATAAAATTACAGTTAAACTTGATTTTACATAAAATATTATAATCAAACCTAGTTACTAATTTTATTTTTTACATTCTTTTTGAAGAATTATAAGTTAAACTACTAATTTCAATGAGTATTAAATATTTATTTATTTTTTTATGCTATGGAGTGTCAAATATTTATTATAAAATCGATATATAATAATTTAGATTAAATAGATTTCGGAATATCTTATAATTCCATACAAATTAGGGAAGATAAAAAGAAGGATCTCTGTACTAAAAAAGAAAAAGAAAAGAAGAAGGATCCATATACGCTGCCGTATGGACGTGGTTCTCGTGGATAATGAACCCAATCCAGTTACGCTATCACTTTCTTGGATTTCAAACAAAAAAAACTTTCTAACCGTTTTCTCACCGTTTCTCAGCATCCAAGCAAGATATTGCACATCATCACCAATTCACACTGAGATCTGAATTTTTTTGCGAGCTATGAATTACAGAAGGTTCGTTTTCAGAAAGACCCGTATTATTTTTTGAACCTGTTCTTTCTCTCTATGTTAACATATATAACGTTTTCTGGAAAATTGCAATGCATGGCGTTGGCGATCTTAAATTCATGTTATGTATTTTTGATTTGTGCATTTTGTTTCCCTTTGACAATTTCATTGATTACAACTTTTTATGTTTAAATTTGGATATGGGGTTGGGTTGTTCTTAGGTTTGAATGATGATTTGGATTTTGGGGTAATGCTGGATAAGGATGTTGGAATAAATATTGCTGTGAATGCACGTGCATTATTCATTAGCTATTCAGTAACAAGGTGAAGTTGAAGAGGATCAGAAAGTTTAGGCATGTTTAGATTAGCTTATTTTATATTCGAAACTACTTATAATCAAAATCTCACTTATATCATATGCATGTCTAGTTTGGATTAATTTTATTTTTTAAGTGAAAAATTTATTCTTCTTAAAGCTTTTTCAGTAAGATTTTGATTGAAGTTTATTTAAATATACAATAAATTAATCCAAACACATACAGTACTTTTTAAATAAAAGTGGTTTTTTCCGAATTGTAATCCTAACTATCCATGCACTTAAAAATTTGATAATGAGTTTGAGTCCATAATTTTTTGAGAACGAAGTATGAAGCAAAAGTTATATCGTCTTGTAAGATGGAGAGATGTGAAATACTTGCTAACTGGTTTATGCTTGTTTTACTGTTTCTAAAAAGAAAAAAAGAGTGAAGATTTAGTAGGGCGACAAGTTTTGTGAAATTGGAGGTGTTTGAGTTCAAACCAGGGAAGCGAGAGCGTTCTGAAATGTGAAAACTGCCTTATTTGTTTATTGCTTGATGTTAGCTTAAATCGTATCTTGTTTATGAATGAGCTATATGGCCTTGAGACTATCTCTGTTTCTACATCTTTTGAGCGGATATCCACACTGTAAGTTTTCTATACAGGATATTAAAAGCAACCCAAGAAAAAAATATGGATTTTGATTTGTTGGAGAGCAGAGAGCTTGAAGCTGTGATGCAATTTTTTTTTTTAATGTCTCAATGTTAGTTTCGCTAGTGCCTTGTCATCCAGTTTTCAAATTTTCTAAGATCTTGAACTTGTTGCTCTATTTTCATCCCTTTTGAGTTGATGCCGACTCTAGCTGTTTTGAAAGATAATAGAATTCGATTAAAAACAAGTTTTACATTGAAAATCAGGATAAGCATTTCATGTCAAACTTCTTAGCAAATACTTTGCTAATCATTTTTTATGTATTGGTTTTATACCTTTTTCTTGAGTTATTTCAAATTTCATGTTGTCACTGATTCGTTTAACTTACACTCTGCTGCAAAATTTGTTTGTCTTGATATATACAATAGGATTATTACTGAAAGAAATCTGTAGAATCTATTATCTGAAGATGAATTAGGAGAGGAAAATTCATTGGTCTAATTCTGTCTGTAATTGGTTATAGAAATTTGTGTGAAAACATGATGTATGCTATCATATGCCATATAGAGATTGTTGTTACTAACTTAAGGCCTATCTTGAACGAAACATTCCGTAAGATTATTTTCACATTTCCAGTTCCCCCAAGAGGACCTTGACACCTTGTATGCATTCTGCTTTTCCTTGCTAAATTAGCTTTTGCAAATCTAGAACTCATCTTGATTTGCTCTGCTTCTCATGTGTATCTCCTATCATTCTTCTTTGATTTACAGCAAGCCTTCAATTTTATTTACATTATCAGTAATCATTCATTTTGGTTTTTTTTATTCAAACCACCATAAGCATGATTGATATTGAAATGAGATAGTTTCATATTTGGAATTCAAACCATTGGGAATCAACTATTGAGTTATAGTTACCTGTAAAGTCTGATATCATGGTACAGCTAATGTTTATTTTCTTCCAGTTGGCTTTGCTATCTTTTAGAAGATTTCATTTCATTGTTTTAGTTTTTTGCAGAAATAATTACGCTCTCTTGTTAACTCTTGTACCTGTTTAATTTTCAAATACAGAGATAATCGCTCCTCCAGATCATCACTTATAGATGGTTTTGATTCTCTGGAGGAGGGTGGTATAAGGGCTTCTTCTTCTTTCTCACGTGAAATTAACGAGCATGATAATGATAGAGCCATAGAGAGTTTGCACGACAGAGTTACCTTTCTAAAGCGAGTAAGTTTTTTTATATATAAGTACTGTTTCACATTTGAAGTATCAGTTAAAATCTTCTCTTAACATCTAGCTGTACCAATTCTTAGCTCTTATTAGATGCTATGGTATGCAGAAAAGTTCTGTTAGTGTTGAAAGTACTACTTGCCTTGGTACCTTTGTTGTTTGAGGTTGGTTATACCAAGTGCATATATGTTGTTTGACTTGTTCCTAATTTATCAGATACCATTTTGGATCACTTGCTGAAATATTGGGAAAATATTGTTTACACTTTCTAATTTTCTGTATTGTAAAAACAAATATGTTTCTCTTTTTTTAAAGGGCGTCAAATGTATTTGTAAAGAAAGGATTATCAAAGGGGATCCGAATTTATGTTTACTGCAGGTCTGAAAATGCTTGTGATGTGTTTATCAAGTTATGTGTTGTGTGGTCATGGTTGTAAATTTGCTAATCGCTGGTGATATCTCATCTGTTTTGATAGAATTTTGCTTGTCTCATATGTATGGGGTTTCTGTTGATTATGGGAACACAAAATATCTATGTTGTAAATGGTGTACTAATTACAAATATACGCATGAATGCATGAAAAATATGAAATATTTGTCCATATCTGTTTTGAAATTGTTTGGGATAAAAGTGATGTTAATGATGTTCTGAAATTGTGTAGCTTATTGTTTTTCATTACATACTGTTCTATTTTTTTATTTTTTTTAACTATTGCGATGGAGGAATCTTGAAAATGAAATGAACTATTGATTTTTATTTTCTTTAAAGGACTTTTAATATTTACTTGATCAACAGTTGACAGGTGATATACATGAGGAGGTTGACAGTCATAACCATTTGCTTGATGGGGTGGTATGTAAACAGCTTACTTTGCTTGTTTCTGAGAGAAGTTTTCTTCCTTTCATTCTGATTGGGTTCCATTTTAAATTAGGGTAGCAAAATGGATGGATCAAGGGGTATGATGTTGGGAACCATGGATCGATTCAAGAAGGTAACATTTTTCCCTACTATGTGCCTCATTTTATATTCTTGTAACTTCTACATTATTAGGAAAATGATTTAGTATATAGAAACTGGATTTTGTAGGTTTTTGAGAAGAAATCGACAAGGAAAACGTGCTCACTTGCGGCTTATTTCACAGTTGCCTTCATATTCATATACTATCTTATTAGGTATGGTAGAATTATTAGAATTATCTTGGAATATCTATAAATAATCATATAATTATCTGTAGATATTAGTTTCCTTATCTTATTAGGATTTGGGTTTTCCCTTAAGCCCATTAGTTTCTCTATATATTGTACACCGTTATACTTGTTGAATACACAGTCTAATAATATACATCATTCATTTCCTCAATCCTCTTTATTCTCATTATTCTCAAGTTGGTACCATAGCTTGTGTTATGGGGAACCTTGCTTCCATAGAAAAACCTTGTCGTGCTTCTTACCGACAAGCCACTCGCGTCGTGTATCATACCAGCAACCCACCTTCAGTACCAGACCCTTGGAGAGTCGCCAACTTCCTGTCCTCAGCCTTGGATCGTTGGAAAACCATCGTCCGCCGCCTGAGACCCCCATCCGTTTGGATGATTCCGGTGAAACCCCTTTGTTTGGACACTTTTTTTAAACACTTACGTGCGATCCCTTACATGTTTTTTGTTTTCGGGTCCTCTTTTTTGTTCTTGCAGGCTCTTAAGTCTGATTTGTGATGGAGGACTCAAGCACTACGGTCAAAAACACTGCTGTTATTATCTCTACTACTGTTCCATTCATTAGAACAATGAAGCTAATCGGATCTACTACTTACAAGACTTGGTCCACCTCCATTAAGATTTGGTTTAATGGCCAGAGACATGGGAAACATCTCACGACCAAGCTTGCTAATGTTCCCAAGGATTAGAAATCTGATTGGGAGAAGATTGATGCCCAGTTCGAACTGGTTCAAAACAAAACCATTTCTTAATTGGTTCATAAACAAGTTCTGATCTGATTTGAAAATATAAACTAGTTCGGTTCTCTGAACTGAATTGTTTTTTCCAGTTTTGTTTGGTTTCACAACGAAAACCAAACCAAACCGAGTCAAACTGTGTACACCCCTATTGTCATGGCAAATTCATACTTATATATTCGGTCTTATTTGAACGTTACATAAATCATTTAGACTCCAACGTGCTTCTCTATAATTCCAATTTAGTGTTAATACCAGCTTTGGTCTCATCAATAAACACAATATAATTTTGCAAATAATATACACCTTGTTGTAAAAAGATAAGGACTCAAAGCAAAACCTTGTTGTAGATTTACTATAATAGGAAAATAACTTAATATGCCATTTCAAGTCTCGATCACATATAGTAACATTATCATACATATCCTTGATTGCTTCTACATACTTTGAAGATACATTTTTCTTCTTAAGAACCCATAACAAAACCCTTTTTGGAACCCTATCATATGCCTTCTTGGGATCAATAAACACTATATGTAGGTCCTTTGTTTCTCTCTCCATCAACTGTCATATCAAGAAGATAGTCTTCATGGTAGTAAACCTTCTTGGCATAAATCCAAATTGATTTACAGAGACCATAGTGTCTATTTTCAAATGATTCTCAATAAATCTCTCCACAACTTTATTGTATGGCTCATAAACTTAATGCTTTTACAGTTGAACAATTTTGGATATCCCTCTTGTTCTTATAGATAGGCATAAGCACTCTTTCTCCTTTCATCATACATCTTATTAGTTTGGAGAATATTGTTAAAAATATTTGTCAACCAACTTATTGTCACATCCCCTATAGTTATCTCGTACCCCCCTTTTTCTTTCTGTATAATTTTGTTTACTATACCTGCTGCCGTAGCATTATAAACATTATTATTACTCTTGTTCCCGTCGGGATAAATTTGACCCCTCCCCCTGTTAATGCCTACGTATATAGGATGAAGTGAACATCTCTATTCGTAATGGGATCTGGGGAAAGAATAGGAAATGTGATTTCACTATATTTCTGACTAGGAACAGGGCCTACCACAAGAATATTTTCTTTTGTAGGACGATAGCTTTGAAAAGACAGAAAGCATCTCTACACTTCAATAGGGATACCATTAGTCCCAAAGTTTTACTAGTTTTCATCTTCTTTATAACAAGTTATGCTTTAAGATAAACCAAACTGTCAAAGGCATTGTTTTCTTTTGGCAACTATGCAAGCAGAAGTGCTGCTAAGTTTAATATTGAAATTATGTAAGTAGTCACTAAATACAGCTGTTGGCTCATCTCTGCAGACATTCATTGATCAATTAAATTAGTATTTTCAGTGTCCGGTTGGATCATGTTGACTGGAACACCACGACGCAGGAAAAATGTTTACAATTCACTGATGCAAACTAACATTTGCTTTGCAGGATGCTTGGATATTTTACACTTGGGTAAAGAACGTTCTGTTGAAGCACATCTATTTGATTGAGTGATGGATGTTTGGAAGCAAAATCCTGTGGTCGTGTGCTGTAAGATGTTTGTACCATACCATTTGGCAAAGGAGATGGTTTGATAGTCACTTGTGACCGCAGAAACTTATTGCATATATGAAGCTTAACAAAATTCTATTGTATACTTCATCTTTTGACCTGGTCTTGTTTCCATTTTTTCACATTGATGCAAGTCTTGAATTCATTTATTATGTAAATTCCAGTTATATGAAATGATTGTATTTATTAGGTGGCAATTGTAAGTGTTGTTTTACTTTTACCTAGTGAAACTAACACTTCCCATATAATAATTTACAAACACTTTAACATTAGGTTATTTTACACTTGACATATACTAATTTAACCTTACACATTAGGTTTCACACTTTCTCACCAACTTTCGCACTACTTTATTATTGTTCTTTACATACCCGAATTGACATATTTATAAGTCCAATGACTTTTTACCAATTCAATTCCAATTAAACTATGACCAATCTTGATTCTTTTTATCAATGGAACATTATAAAACACTTGTATATTCAATTATACAATTCTAACCCTAATTAGCATGTATAGGCCGAATTGCACCTATACCTAGGGTTATGTTCTTAATTACTTTTCTCTCATTACAAACCACTTTAATCATATTTTCATAATCAAACATTAATGCTCACTCATTATGAAGGGTATGGCCGAATTACTTATGTAATTATTCCACATGATTTATCAACTTATCAATCTTATAAATCATGTTAAACCACACTAAACCACTCTTTAACTAACCTTTTATGATCACAAGATTAATCCTTGCCATTTAAAATGTACATGGCCGAATGGCCTTTATAAAAGTCTATGACTTTTCCTTTTTAATGTCATATTCAATTTTCATTGAACCAACCACCATTAAAACGCCTAAAAACCCTAGTTTCACTTGGGTATTTTATCAAACACATGGTTTGCACATTTAAACATCACTTGGCCGATTTACATGTTGTAAATTTTATCAAACCCTTTAGCTTGTTTTAAGCATTTCTATGCATAGTTTTACATAGATTCAACAAACAACCTCCAAACCATTTAAATCCACATGAAATAACATCATATGATCATGGTATTCTCAAACCCTAATCAGCCATAAACATCAATATACAATAATTTCCAGACATCAAAATGAAGATGTATTACCTTACTTAACTTCCTTAGGAACTAGAAAACACTTTCAACTAATAAAACTCTATAACAACCAAACTTTCCATTCTTGATGAATAGTACCATCCCACTTTAGATGAGGATATCTCTCACTGTATAGCTTCTCAAAGAAAGAAGGATGAAGATATAGAATTAGAAGACCTAAGGCTATAACTTTTGTGTAATGGGCTTTTGCTAGTTTTGCCTTAAATCTTCAAGAGTTCACTTGTTTTTTCTTCCATGTAACTCACGGCCTCCATTGAGAGGAAAAGAAGAAAGGTGCATGAAAATGACTTATGAGAAGATGCATGACCGGTTGTGTAGGAAAAGAAATGACTTAATACTTGTTTCTTTCACGAAGCCACTTTATTTGACTTTAACTTCCAAAGCTTAATTCTTATTAGTTACTTTCTACACATTTAACTTGCTCCTTAAGTATAACAACCCTCATTGTCAAAATAGGTGACAATGAATCAAGTTAGTGTTTATATGAATTAAACACGTAATTAAGAAAACAGTGAACGATAAATCATGTAATTGACATAATAATTAAGTGAAGAATACAATTCATGCCAGACAAATCTAATAGGACCTAAGTATAAGTATGGAATATATACATAAGGACATAGATGTCATTATTGTAAAAGTTAGGGTTAGTTTGGTAATTGACCAAGATTAGGTCAAAGCATGAATTAGATGGTCTAAATAAATTATATGATTAATTTCATGGTTCAAAGTGATCTTATTGTGATCAAATGATGTTTAGATTAATTTCTAAAATTAAGTCAAAGTATGAAAATTGATATAGGTCAAAGATGCATTCAAAATTGATAAGTTAGTAACATAACTTAATTTTGTGAAATTTTCTTAAGATTTTCAATGCATAAATGATTTTATGTATCCTTGAATTTTTTAAATTCAAGAAGGTCAAAGTGAGAAAGAAATCAAGTCTTGAAAGAATGGATCAATAGAATTGTAATTTGAATATTCAAAAGAGGACAAGTGGACAATTAAGTAAACTTAGCAAGGAAGACACATCCAAGCCGATTACCTCACTTCCATGCATGTCCCATGTTGCCTTCTCTATGTAAGAGGATTTGTTTGTCAAATAGATAGCCAATAGGAATTAAGCTAAGTGTTAAAGTAAAAAAATGTTAAACTTACAAGTTAAGTCAGCTTTGGAGATATTTCCTCCAACATAACGGTCACTTTCTTTTCTCTAAGTGTCTCACGCAACTTTCTTCTTTCTTCTTCTCCATGGAGGCCGTGAAGTAGCTAGGAAGAAAGAATAAGCAAGTTCCAAGAAATCTAAGCACTTTAAGCCAAAAACTTATTGCAAAAAAGTTGTAGCTTTAGGTATTGGGATTCTATATCTCCATCCTTCTTTCTTTGAGAAGCCTTATATTGAGAGATATGCTCACATAAAGAGGGTTGGTACTGTTCATCAATAGTGGAAACATTAGGTGTTCATCAAGTGTTTAAGTTGGAAAAGGTTGCCTAACTACTAAGGAAGTTAAATAAGGTAATACATCTTAATTTTGATGGCCGAAAATTATTGTATATTGGTATAACACCCCATTCAGGACTAGCGTATTAACACATATATGGTATTAAGCATAGTTACAATTACGACCGTTGAATTAAAATACGGTAAAACTTTTTCCTTTTTAAAACAACGTCTTCATTTAAAATGACCGTATTTAAAAATAATTTCCATAACATGATCATAACTAAAAATAATTGTGGAATATAAATTTTTATTGCTTAAATATCACACAATACATATACAAAGAATTGCTAAGTGATTTCCATAAATCAACAAAGCTTAAATGCACTATTACGCATTTTACCAACCTTATATAGGTTCAATTTTTTGCAAAACTGCACTTGACTTATTTACAAATAAATTCTCATCCTTTAGAATGTTAAACTAGACTCTAAGCTTTCCAATAAGGTATTATAAACTTAATTTGGACTTCTACAACTGTAGATATGTTTACTGTAACATCCCGTGTGCACCCGGTGTATTAAACATACATATGGTAATAGCGCAACTAATTAAATGCGGAAGCTAACTTTTCCCAATTATGAATCATTCATTATTAACCAAGCGGATTTACTTATTCATTTTCAAAATATAGCCTGTATGTAAATTGCAACAATTACTACACTGAATAACCTCATGGTATAAATATCTGTGTATCTAGTCAAGGAACTACAACACGTAGACCAGACAATATCCTGATACAATATTACAGCTCAACTATAAAACAAACATAACTGATACCAATGTGGCATGGACAACCCTCATGCTCACCAAATAAGGCAACATAACCAAACAATGTCCCAAATCAACTAACAATACGCTAATAGCAAAGCATAATCAGCTCAACTCTGGCCTCCTGCCACCAGAGGTCTCAACCTCAGAGGTTCCTGTACCTGAAAATGTGCCACACACGGGGTGAGATCTCTAAAAAGAAATCTCAGTAAGATAAGGGGTCCTAAAGGACTCTTTTGCCCCAAGCTCACTTACAAGTATATAATCATTCAAAATGTTAACTACAATGCATGTTCATGTTAGGCAGTATAATTGTAAGAACCTGCACCATTAATTTAGAAATTTAATTAATTAAATAAGAGAATTAGAAAATAATTTCATAATTAACCCTAATAATTATGAGAAGGCTTAAATAATTATGGTAAGTGATTAAGAATGTTGAAAGTCGCTTTTCTGATGAAAAATGCAGATGCCGGCTCTGCTCCTCGGTATAAATGCGTACCAGTGAAGTATCCCGGAAAATTACAATAAGTATGTGAATATTACTAGAATAATATATAGGACTGGTAAAACAAGTTTCAAGTCGAAATAATGAGAACTGGTGCCAGAACTGATACTGGCTAAGTAAAAGCGCGTACCGGAAAGGTGTTGCGAAAAATAAAATAAAATTATGACAAATCTTAGAAAAATGAGTAGGTTCAGAATCTTAAGTTTGGGATTAAAATGCTAAGCGTAGCTATTAGTGCCAATACAATGTGGTTAGAGTTAATAAGACTATAAATATGCATTTTTGGCCCAAAACCCTAGGCCATACACTAATCCTACGTGAGACTTTGGTGGCTGAGCAGTCTTGACATTATTCCATTGCCTTCTTCCCTTTCTTTGTGAGCCAAGAGGCCTTTTTTTTCTTGGAACCTTCATCAAAGCACCTTGAGAGAGAGTGTAGTGGCATTGGGAGTGAGTGAGACCCTCCATTTCTGAACTTACAGCTTCTGTGAGTGAGTGTTTGTGGCTGCCTTCTTGACTTGGTGAAGAGGGAGCCATTTCCTTGGTTGTGAGAGCTCTAAGTGGTGACCTTTGTGAAGAAAGGACCCACCTTGGAGTGTATTTTCATGGCCTCTTGGTTGCTGCTCTGTGGAGTGGCATTGGAAGCTTCAAATCACTGTCTTTTTTCTGTTTTGAGAACTTGGTAAATGTAACACCCCGTGTATACCCGGTTTGTTAACATGTCATCGTATTAAACCACGCTTAATTAAAAATGCGGAAAATCTTTTTCTTTTCAATTATGACGTCATTATACTTAGCCAAACTGATTACTTAATCATTTTCATAAAAAACATCGCCTGTATGTAAATTGAAAAAGACAGCTACTGAAATATCTCATAAATAAATAAGTGAGTATCTAAGTCACGAATCTACAACACGTAGTCCAAACCATATCCTGATACATTAATACAATCTAAAACTAAAATCAGAAAGTCAAGTCAATGTGGCATGGACAATCTCCATGCTCACCAAATAAACGACATAGCCAACAGAGTCTCAACAACAGCAACAATAATCAAACAAGCTAATAACAGAAAGCAACAGACATAATCCAGCATCCAGACATATCATCATATAAATAGCAGTATCAGCTAAGCTCCGGCCTCCTGCCGCTAGAGGTCTCAACCCCCGCATTACCTGAACCTGAAATAAGCGCCCCAAACGTGGATGATATCTCTAAACAGAAATCCCAGTAAGGCAAGGGGTCTTTAAGGATCTTCCACCCCAAGCTC